GCGGGCAGCCCCTGCCCGCCGCCGTGGCCGAGCTGCCGGTGCTGGACGCCTCCGGGAGGCGGGTGCTGTTCGGCGCGCTGTTCCGGGAGCGCCGGGCCGTGGTGGTCTTCGTGCGGGTGAGCGCGGGCAGCGGGTGGCCCGGAGCAGGGACCTGGCGCGCAGACTGCGATGGAAGTGGCTTCCGCAGCTTCGGCGGTGGGGACGGCGGGTTCCTGGGAGGGTCCGGGGCCGGCCCTTCCCATTGTCGTCCGCTAGAGGCTTCTGGAGCGCGAGCCGCTCCTCTCGCTTCCTTTCCCGGGAATGGAAAAACAGCCCGCCCAGCCGGTCTGTTTTCTCAGCGAGCGAGGAGGCCTCGCAGGGACTGGGTGCGGCCCAATTTTAACGTACTTCGGGCGCCCTTGACACCTTTCTCTGCCCGCCTGGCGTATTGTGTTCATTAGCGTCACGCATATCGAAGTACTTGGTCCTTTCTGGACCCTGAGGGTGTCGGCTGCTCACTTGTCCTTTTTGGTGTTTGGATTTCAGCATTTCCTGTGTTACATCTGCAAGGAATATGTAGAAGATCTGGCCAAAATCCCCAGGAGTTTCTTACAAGTAAGTTTCCTGAGAGTGAGCGGGAGAGCGCCCTGCTTCAGGGCGACCTCGTGAGTCGCCTGTCACTTAAAGAAGTGCGGTGGGGTCAGGTGCCGAGTGCGCCGCCTTCCTGCGCGGAAGCTCACAGACCCAGATGATCACCTTCCCGCACGTCTCTCCAACACCTCCGAAAAGGGAGAGACAGAGATCTCGTTCTGTCCTGATTTATTATTTATTCATTACTGCCTGCTTATAAACGTGTTAACCATAATAATAATTTTGATGTTATTTGGTAACCTGCCTAATTGTAAATGTTAAATGATAATGACCAAAAACACAAATGATGGAAATTATTGATATTTTTTTCTCTTTATTTATGTAATAAAAACACTCCAAATAGTTGTTCATGATAGGAAAATACTCATATATATTAAAGGTGAAAATGTGTATTTGTTAATAGGATGCATGTTCCACATCCATATGACAGCCACATATGTGTGTTTCTCTTCAGGCACATACAGGTTTGTCCCCAGGTGAGCGTTTGAGAGAAAGACTGACCAGCCTTTGTAAAACTGAGATCTGTTTTTAGCAGACCTTATCAGTTGGGATGTGAACAAATAAAATTGTCTGATTAAATAACCCTACTTTAATAGTTTTTATTCTTTTTTGTATATTCCTCTGGGGGAGTGTAGAGAATTATTGACTATATTATTTTGAAATTCTTATTTAGCAAAAGAATCATCTGAATTAATTGAACATTTTAGTGTACATTTCTTTGCTTTGACTCATACAATTTTGCTGTTTATTTCATTCTTTTAGAAGCTTATAGGTGGCATTAGGATTGAACAAAAGAGTTGGATTAGAGGAAGTTGTATAAAGCATATAATTTCTAATAATATGTACGCATCCTTTTTTTATCCTAAAGGAGGCAAATGTCACCCTTATAGTGATTGGACAGTCATCCTACCATCATATTGAGGTAAATATATAGCAAATTGGGAAACTAACAGATTAAATCTGTTTCAGACAGACAAGTTATATTATTTGAACCACTAAGTGTAGGTTAAATTTGCTAAAATTAAATCAGATTATCATTAATTTTTTTCTTGTTTGTTTTTATAAAAGTCCCAGCTATTCTCTTTTTGCAGCCTTTCTGCAAACTGACTGGGTATTCTCATGAAATCTATGTTGACCCTGAGAGAGAAATTTATAAAAGATTGGGAATGAAAAGAGGTGAAGAAATTGCGTCCTCAGGTAAGGCAAGACATGTTGTAAGTAGCAAACGCTGACGGTGTCTTTCCACATTTGGTATATATGCATAGGGGGATAAATGGTAACTTCACTAACCATGCTGCTTTTTATGATTCTAGTAAGTGGTCCAGATACACCAGAATCTTAAAGATTCATTTCCTGGGTGTAATGACATGGAAAGCTGTTTGTGAAGTACTAAATGAATGAAAAAGCAAGTTGCAGAACAGAGTTTTCAGTATGATTCCATTTTTCTGAAAATAAAAACCATTTTCATAAACATAAAGATTTATAGTATCTGTGTGTGTGTGAGTGTGTGTAATGAAGAAGGTTTTAAAAGACATTGTAGTGTTTACCCTAAGGCATGGGAGTGAGAATAAGTGGCTTTTGTATTTTTTTACAATGAGTACATTTTACTTTTGTAATTAAAAGAAAAATAATATTGCTTAAGTTATTGTATTTTCATACCTCAACACCATGGCTTTGGATACTCTCTTCTTTAATTGATGAAATCTTTTCATTTGAAGCCCAACTCAAAGGGGCTCTTAATAGCTCTTTTTTTTTTTTTTGTGAGGAAGATCAGCCCTGAGCTAACATGCATGCCAAACCTCCTCTGTTTGCTGAGGAAGACTGGCCCTGGGCTAACATCCATGCCCATCTTCCTCCACTTTATATGGGACGCTGCCACAGCATGGCCTGGCAAGCGGTGCATTGGCGCGCGCCCGGGATCCGAACCCGGGCCGCCAGCAGCAGAGCTCGTGCACTTAACTGCTATGCCATGGGGCCGGCCCATCTTAAGAGCTCTTCAAGCAGAAGTAGTTGCTTGCCTCATTGTACTTTAATAACAGCACCTTGTACTTTATTATATGCTCCATTATTGCACTTAAGGTGGCTGGGTATTATAGTTAGTTGAAGAGTTTGATATTTTATTCATCTTTATATGGTCCATGTTCCCAGCCCCTAGCACAATTCTTTGTAGTTGAGCTTCATAAGCTCAGGTAAACTGTTTATGTGCGTTTTAGGTAGAAAGAACTTGGCTTCTGAAATGCCAAATAAGAGAACTCAACTTGAACTCAAATCATTCATTCTCACCAGATACTATTGAGCTCTGGTCCGTGACATCCACTGTATTGGATGCTCCCAAGAGGACAGTGATAAAAGACACAGCCCCTGCCATCCCAAAACTCATAATCTACTCTGGGAGACAGAAGCAAACAGCTAATTACAGCACATGTTAATGGTTTGTAATAAAGGAGAGCATGCACTGGGATTACTTGTGCCAGAAATACGAGGGGAGAGAGGAATCTGAGAAGGCTTTTCAGAGGAGGTGTCATCTAAGCTCACTCTTCAAGGAGTTAGCGGGTGAAGTGAGGCAGAGGAAGGGTGCTGCTGACAGAAAGTAGCACATGCAAAAGCACACAGGCATGAAAAAATGTGTCTCTTGGAGAAGTGCGAGTCCCTGCATCAGGCCGAAGTCTAGGAGCCAGTTGGGGAATTGGTGTGAGTCAGAGGACAGGTTGTGGCCAATTTGTGGTGAGTCTGGGGTGACATGCCAAGGAGTCTGGATTTGTTCTGGAGGCAGTGGGGGAATCATGCCAGTATTTAAATGGAGGAGTGATGCAGTCCCGTATCCAGCATGGAGGAGTAATTGGAACCTGCCAAACTGGAGGCAGTGATATTCGTGATAGGCGAGAAAGAAATGACGGGGCTGCAGTGGAGATGGAGAGGAGGGGATGGATAGAGGAGCCGTTGATGAGGTAGAGTTGACATGATCTCTTTACTGATGGTTTTAAAGAAAGCAACCTAACCTCTGTTAAAACTAATGATGAGCTAGCATAATAAACACAGAGTTTGCTCTTTTTTTTCTCTTTAGTATGGGAAATTGCAGCAGCACAGATTGTGGACGTCCCTTTGTGGTAGAGGTTTTCCTGTGTGGTGACAGTCGCAGCGTGTGTGAGGTCTGTTCGTCACCCAGCGCTTCAGCTGTGAACTGTGATCTTCACTTTAGTGACACCTCACCATTCATTGTTACCATAAAGATATGGAATTACAAAGAAAACATGAATTCTAAACAAGATACATGCTAGTAACTATAAGAGAGGGTATATTCAAATCTTTTAAACTCCTTTGACCTGAGTTAAAGTACTGTATTTCAAAACAGAAAATAATATTTTCTCATAAAATAATCTTTTAAAAGTTCCACCCTAAAAAAGTATAAATCTCAGAATCAGTCTCAGAATAGTCCTACTTGAAAATTAAGAGACTAAAAATATACATTTATAATTTAAAATTAATGGACATTTTATAAAGACAAAAAGAAAAGCCATTAAATGTGAGGGATTAATGGGTTTGTAGAAGACTGAAAAACAGGAGTTTTACACATAAGAACTAAATTCAAACTGGCAAAATTAGATTATACTTCACAGCAAAGATTGTTAAATTCTAGGTGGTGGAATTTCCTTCAATTGAATTTCTAAGATTTCAGAAATATTCAATGACTCCTTTGGACATGAGATAGTTTGGATTTCTGGACATTTATTTTAGGTATAGTATCATAGAAAACATTAAAATTTAGTCTTTTACCCATATCTCTAAGCTAATGAGCCTGTGTTTGTTTCTTGGTAAGAAGAATGTCCGTCATAATGTAATCATGAAAGAAATAGAAGAGTTGGAGAGATGAAGGGAAATAATAGGTATTTGGAAATATTAAGAAGTCAGGCAGGTCTAAGCATAATCATCAAAATAAAAGCAAGACATAAAAGGCAGGGAGAGGAGAAAGACAAGTTACAGGAAGGGTAAAGTGACTGAGTTTCTTTACTGAAGGGGAGTGAAAGTGAAGCATCAGTCACTATGAGAGAGGAAATAGAAAAACTGACAGCCAAGGAGAGACGGAGAGGCAGCTGTGGTGGCTCTTGTTACAGCTAGACCCCAAAGTCTCCATAGCACAATGTGGTGTAGAAGGTTAGTCCTTTTTCTTTTACATTTCAGGATGCATATATCTGTGTGGGTGCCTCTTGTTTAAGTAGGAGTTCAGGGTCACAATATGGAAGGACCCAGGCCCCTTCCATCTTGTGACTCTGCCATTTTCAACCCAAGACTTCCAAGAATGTAGAAGGAACATGGAGAATTGCTCCTGGGAGGTTTTTAGGAGCTGGCTTGGAAGTAGCACACACCATTTTACTTGATGGTAAGAACATAGTCACATGGCCATACCAAACTGCCAGGAACACTGGGAGATGTAGTTTAGCTGCAGGCCCAGAAAGAAGAAATGGGTTTTGAGCGCTATATGATAGTCTGTGCCACACTGTCTCTTGAAAAGGAGTGTAGCTTCCTATCAGTAGGTGAGAGACTACACTGAGTGTAAATGGGGAATTAAAAGGAAAGCACTACCAATTGGAGAAGTCCGTAGCTAACATTTTTCTGTGGCAGAAAATGACCTGGGTTCATCATCACTTCTTCCTTTAAGGTAGTAGTTCTTAACCAGGGACAGTTTTGCCACCTACGCCACCCCAGGGGACGGTTTGTATTGTCTGGAGACATTTTTGATTGTCACAACTTGGTGAATGGTGCTTTGACATCTAGCGGGTGCAGAGGGCAGGGATGCTGCTAAACACCCCACATTGCACCCTACAGAGAATTATCTGGTCCAAAACATCAATGGTGAAAGACTGAGACAACCTTCTTTGAAGGAAGAAAACAACACAAGTCAAAAGTAAGATGACACACAAGAAAGAGGATGTTTTATGGAAGTACTAACATTATCTTCTAATATCTAATCAAATGTAAAATGATAACATCTAAAGACAATTCCCAATATTTCAGGAAAGAGCCCCCATATAAAATCAAATATACTCTCAGGAAGCATTTGGAGCCTGTGGCGGGCAGTGACTGGCCCTCTTTTTGATTTTCAAGGAGACCCAGCTCAGCAGGGCGGAACCCTCGTTTTAGGTCCAGGTAAGCAGTCAAAGCCCAGATGCAGCAGCACACTTTCTGTGCCCTTTAGAAGTCTAGAGGCCGCCCACCTTCTCCATAAAATGGACACCATGCAAAAATGGGCAGCTTGACATTGTAACAGCCAGGAGGCTGTGCTTTCATAGGGGCATCTTTTGTTTTCAAAGTCTTCTGTGCATTTTGATGTCTGTGTATTGGATGTAAGGTGCCCATCATTCCATGCCTGAGTGATGTCAGGTATTTGGGATTAGGAAAGTCAGTGGTGGTTTGGTGAATTGTATATGGCTATAACACTCTAAAAAGTTCAGTGGAGGTGAACATTTCCAAATAGGAAAAAATCATCCACCACATTTTTTTTTGTCAATAGAAGAATAATCTAGTTATTTATATCTAACAAAACTAGGAGACTTGCTCAATGTCCAAAGCAAGTCAGCTCCAGGGACAACTCATTCAATAACAATTACTATAAGCCACATACTTGTAGTAGCTTTACTGATCACTTTGGAGCACCTGAAATTCCTTTGGCTCCTCTCTGCTGAAAGCTTGACTGTTAGCTTTCCACCACAGTCAAACATCGCAGTCAGAGACAAACACCCCTGTGTGACAGTGCCCAAAAGCCTGAATCACTGGGTTGTAAACTGATTTCTCTTGGTTCTTTTTCCTCTTTAAAATTGGCCACATTCCGGCCCTGTGGCTTGGTGGTTAAGTGCGCACGCTGCGATGCTGGCGGCCCGGGTTCGGATCCCGGGTGCGCATCGAGGCACCACTTCTCCGTTTATCCTGAGGCCGAGTCCCACATGCAGCAACTAGAAGGATGTGCAGCTATGACATACAACTATCCACTGGGGCTTTGGGGGGAAAAATAAAATAAATAAAATCTTTAAAAAAAAAAAAAAAAAAAAAGGCCACATTAGTGAGCGGAGCTCTAAGAGTTACAAAATTAACATTTACTTTTTAATAAATTCCAGATATCTAAAAGGAAATCTTTAGAAAGAGAATTTTGACTAAGTATTATGACTTTTTGGCTTTCTGCAGCTGAAACACTGTAGCTAGCTAAAATCCATCATTTTCTTTAATCTCCCTTTCCTTCTCTCACGAATTTGTACCAGTTAGACCAGCCAAAAAGGAAGCCCTGTGTTATGAGGGTAAGTCCTATAAATTGGCCCAGAATGACATGGAGCCGTATTTCTGAATGACGCTCCAGACTTGGAGGGGTTGTCCTCTGAGTCTCTCATCCCACGGAGAGTGTGCCATTGTGTGCCAAGTTAGAAACATACTTAATCAAGAGAATATTTTGATGGTAACCACTGGAAAAAATGTGGCTCCTCTAAGGAAAGAGCTAGCTGCATGTACTTATTTATACAAATCTCTATCCCTGTTAACCCTGTAATTCATTTTGTCTTATTTGATAATAAGCCAATTTATGATATTGAGTCTAGTGATTACTGTAGACAGTAGATACGTACAGTGCCAAAAACCTGCCTCATAATATTTACTTAATCTAATGTTTTAAATTAAAATTCGAGTCTTGAGTCCAAGAATCAAAGAAAACAGAACCTAGACTATAAATTATGACTTTTTTTATTTGAGCAGATAAAGGGATGGTGGACATCTAAGTGTATTGTAATTGATTGTGGTAATGCCCTATTTTCCAGCCTCTTTTGCTCTATGGTTATAATGCAGATAGCCTATTAAATCAGTATTTGGGAGTGAATCTTTTTAAGTGAGTGATTTCTTCCATCATTACATTTAAGAAACAGAATTTTCCAGCTTGATATCTATGTTAGTTTCCATATTCTGCCTGTCTATTTGACAGGACATTTTATTTAATTACATTTAATAAAACCTAAGAAGGTTATAATTTAAGAATCTTTCCTCTTGGATCTCATAAAACATTAAATATCACTGTTATTTAACCATAATCCTTGTCATGCTTTATTACCTTAATTAAAAATTATTATGGCATTATATAGAGAATATAATGTAGTCCAGGAAATTAATTTTTCCCTTTGGACTAATTAAAAGTTGAAAAGCTTTCTTGATTCTAGTAAGCAATAAATCTAATGAATAATACTGTGTGCCAACCTCTGCCTTTTATTCTTATTCTCTTCTAGGTAACAGCATCCATTTTATACACCGTGATAGGAATAGGTTGGACCACAAACCCATCAACTCTGTTTTACAGCTTGTAGGAGTTCAGCCTGTGGACTTTACAGGCAGACCTTCAGTTATCCACGTGTGACAGTACAGGCTTTCCCGTGGACCCTTGCGATATGCCCAGAAATGTCAGCGTGTAGTATCCCTGTGCAGCATCTAACTTGTTGGCTCTTCCCAGCCTTTGAGGAGTTATGAACGAATAAAGAGACCATGTACCAGTTGAATTGCATGCTGAGAGGCATCAGTTATCAAAGATGTGATATATATTTATAATTTTATAGCTTTTAAAGTTTTAGACAAAATAAAATTTTATTTATACATAGTAAAACTTTAAAAGCTATAAAATTATAAATACCATTCTTTATTTTACATTATGGTATATCCATTCAGTGAAAGTTTTTGTTAGCCATTAAAATCATAAATTTTTATGAAACATACAAGGGGAAGGGTAAACAAGTCAAGACCATTTTATTCACGGAAAAAAGCAGGATATCAAATTCTGTAAACAATATAATCACATTTTTTATGTATATGTTTATATTTTTGTGTGCTTAAAAAAAAAAGACAGGAAATAAACACACCAGAATATTGCCAGTAGGTGTCTCTACGTGGTAGGATTACAGGTATTTTTGTTTTCTTTTCCATACTTTTCTCTATTTCCAAAATATTCTATAATGAGCATGATTCATTTTTGGCCAGGAAAAGGTCTTTAAAAATTATGTGAAGAATACATTCCCACATAACCAGCTCCACAAAGGTGCAGTTATATACACTACATGTTTCTACCTAATTGCTCTCCTCTGAGGAAATGTGACAGAACAAACCGTTCAGTCTGAGAGCACCTTGTACGGCTCACCCACTATCATTTCACTAGGATTGGGGGGGGGGGTAAAAGGAGAAAAATATGTTTTAGATATTTAAGATATGTATGTAAAATATGGTCAGTATGCTTTTTGAAAGGAAATTTTAAGAATTGTTTAAACTGAAAACAACTTTGTAACTTAAACGTACACTGTGGTTTGGTTATATATTCCTAGACAGCTTTTATTTCTCACCCCCAAATTGCTTTTATTTAGTGGAGTAGTATTGTTTATTTTTCTAGAATCTTAATATGCTTAGTTGGGAAGTGTTCCAGAAATTCTGATGAAATGCACAGCAAAATCAAAATAATTGGTAATTGTTAGCAAGTATAATACTGCTTTGAACTTAAAATACTTTTATATAAAGCATATGAAGTCACACACAAATATATATATTTGAAGTATCCAAATATTTGAATGTATTTTCATATATATACATGGACAATCATGTTTTTAATAAAAAGTTTGTCATAAAATTTAAAATTAAGCAATTTTGTACTATTTCGTATAGTAAGGAAAGACTTGTGACCCAGATACCTTTGTTGTTGATTTTAGACTTAAAACTTCTGAATCATAGCTTGCACAAAAATTTATGTATTTCTAAATGTACACCACATTTTTTAAGATGTATAAATGTTCTTTATTTGGGAGGTACAGTTACAAAAATATAGTGGAGTGGTAACTTGCCTACCCAAACAAACACTATAAAAGTTACTTATAATCGGTGTTATGAAATATATAAACATGTTCCACATCCAGTAAACTACTGGACTCAAAATTTTCAAAAACCTTGTGATAAATACATAGAAATACTGATAAAAGAATAATAACATCTAACCTTTTTTTGATGCTAATTATTTGCCAGGTGCTATTCCAAACACTTTACATACATTAGCTCTATAGAATGGATATTACTGTAATCATCTCCATTTTACAGAGAAGAAACATCTTTTTTTAAGGTGAACTTACAAGAATGTGAGGAAACTCCACCAGGGCCAAAAACAGAAGCAGAAACCAGCATGATGACCATGATTGAAGCCACAGGCTGCCCTGAAGGCTGTGCCTGTTCAAAGAATTGGACAAGGCTGTTCCGTGGTGAACTCAAAGGCCTTCACAGCAGAGAGTTAAAACTGAGACCATTGCATGAAGTACGACCTGAGACCTGTGCCTGAGGCCTGGGACCTCCTGGGCCTTCTGAGGGCTGCAACTGTGTCAGAATGGGCTACAGTCAAATCCGTCCATAGACTACAGAGCCCAGGGAGGAAATGTAAGGCTTCTGCAATGAACCATTAGGGCAACAAGAACTTCAAGAAAATGAACGTGCATATTTACTTTTAAAAATCAAATATTTTTGTTTCTCAAGAAGATTGATGATAAACTAGTAACATGCATAAAATGTTCGTTTATGTTACCATCTACCATGGGGGCCCAAATGATAACACTGACCATGTGAAAACTGGAAGACAAATTTTGTCAAGAAGCAACATTACCTACTTTAAAGTTATAGTTACTTTAAGAAGAGTATTGCAGAAGATGACTTAAAATGTGCAGTTGCAGAAGGTACATTTACATGTCATTCTGTGAAGAATGATTTTTCATTTAGAACAGAGTTCTTTTAAATTAATTTCATTTATTTTGAATTCCAGGTTCTCTTATGAACATGTAAAAAGTGAAGTGGTAGCTACTCATGTACTGGCTCTATTAGCAGAAAACTGAAAACAGTTGCAGGATACCAGTTTTTTATCAGTACTGTCAGATGCTTCAAATAGAAAGTCATATAAACTCATTCCTAAAAGATGAGCTGAAAAAAGTTTTCTTTTTTTTTGATCCAGTTTACAAAATCAAAGCAAAACCGTTGGAAGTTCATTCTCTCAAAGGTGAAATATCTGATATTATGGTGAATGCTACTCTATATTCAGTTTAAAAATTCAACATCGAAGAAAAATTGATTTGTTTTTATGTGGTGACAATGTGAGTATAAATTTAGACGAATATATATTTTGATAAAAATATTCATATTAAGAAACCTATGGAGCAGAAGCATACTTGGAATTTGTGGTGCACACATAATTCATAATTGTGTCCAAACTAAGCTGTCAATCAAAATAGAGATTATAGTTAAAATTTACTGATTTTATTTTTTTATTATTGTGGTAAGATATACCTAACATAAAACTTACAATTTAACCATTTTTATTGTGGTAAAATATACATGATATTAAATTTACCATTTTAATCATTATCGTGGTAAAATATACATAACATAAAGTTTACCATTTTAACCATTTTTAAGTGTGCAGTTCAGTGGCATTAGTATATTCATATTGTTAATGCAAGCATCACTACTATCCCTCTTCAGAACTTTGTCATCGCATATTGAAACTCTGTATTCATCAAACAATAACTTCTCATTCACTCATTGCCCCCAGCCCCTAGTAACCACCGTTCTACTTTCTGTCTCTATAAACCTGACTATTCTAGGTACCTCATATAAGTGGAGTCATACAGTATTTATTGTTTTATGTCTGCCTTGTTTCACTTAGCAAAATGTCCTCAAGTTTCATCCATGTTGTAGCATGTATCAGAATTTCATTCCTTTTTAAGGTTGAATAATATCGCATTGTATGGGCCGGCCCATGGCTTAGTGGTTAAGTGCACGCACCCCACTACTGGCGGCCCGGGTTCGGATCCCAAGCACCCACTGATGCACCGCTTCTCCAGCCATGCTGAGGCCGCGTCCCACATACAGCAACTAGAAGGATGTGCAGCTGTGACATACAACTATCTACTGGGGCTTTGGGGGAACAAAAAAAAGGGGAGAGGATTGGCAGTAGATGTTAGCTCAGAGCTGGTCTTCCTCAGCAAAAAGAGGATTAGCATGGATGTTAGCTCAGGGCTGATCTTCCTCACAAAAAAAAAAAATATATATATATATATATATTGCATTGTATGTATATACCACATTTTATATATCCATTCATCCGTCAGTGGACATTTGGATTATTTCTGTCTTTTGGCTATTGTGAATAATGTTGCTGTTGACATTGGTGTACAAATACCTGCCTGAGTCCCTGCTTTCAATTTTGTGTATATACCCAGAAGAAGAATTGCTGGATCATATTTGCATTCTATGTTTAATGTTTTGAGGACCCACCATGCTGTATTCCACTGCACCTGCACCATGTTACATTCCCACCAGCAGTGCACAAGGGTTCCACTTACTCTACATCCTCACCAACACTTGTTTTCTATTTTTTATTTATTAGAAGCTTCTCTTTTTATTTATTATTGTTTTTATTTTTTATTTTTTTGCTGAGGAAGATTTGCCCTTAGCTACCATCTGTGCCAATCTTCCTCTGCTTTGTGGGTCACCACCACAGCATGGCCGACAAGTGGTGTAGGTCTGCACCCAGGAACTGAACCTGGGCCGCTGAAGCAGAGCACGCCAAAATTAACCACTAGGCCATGGGGCTAGCCCCTGGCCTTTTTTTTTTAAATAATAGCCATTCTAAAGGATGAGATATTGTAGTTTTGACAAAAATTGCCAATTTTAAAAAACGTACGCACAGAGTAACCAAACAAAATATCTGTGAGAAACTGATGTTGAATAATAATTTTTTTAAAAGCAAACATGGCAGTCTGCACTTTTTTTTGTTGCCCATCATCAAGCAGACATTGGAAATGTTTGAAGCATTGAAGAACTGCTCTGTAAACCAACCTGTGTTGTCCTCACTGAGAGTGAACTTTGTTTTGTAAATGGGTCCTGTATGTTTTGATTTCTTTCATTTAGTAAGTTGGAAATCTTTAAGGAATTTATTCAATGAATAGTGTGCCAAAAAACTAAATTTTGACGCTTTTAGCAAATCACATGATCGAAAACAAACCTTACAAGTAGGAAGACACTGAAATTTGGCTCTTAAAAAAGAAGGAAACCAGATAAAATATATAATTGAAAGCTCAAATAGGATAAAAGATTTAATTTTGAAATTCTATAACTTTGCTTTACAGTTTCTTAACTTATGGTGGAGTTCCTATTTTTAATTGGGTAAATGTGAATTCTGCATCAGACAGGAATGAAGTGAAAAAAAAGATAAAAGGAATAAAATGGCCTATGATTTTCTAGCATCAAAATTTGGTGAAACATTCGAAGGAATTATAAATGGTGAATTTATTTGATGAGTTTCATCACGTAAAAATCATGTTGAAGAAAGGTACTCTGAGTAAAGGCAAAAGACAGTATCTGAAAATGTTAAGGCTGAAATATCTGTTTTTAATATGAAAAAATTGGACTTGAAAATATCCTCCATTTAGCAAAATTTGTCCTGAGCTTACCAGGTACTTTTAGAGACAGAATATTCTCAATGTGAAATCTGGACTACAGAGAAGAATCAAATGAAGAGGTCTACAACTCTAAGTCTTTTAACTATAAAATGCAACTTTAGAGAAGGCTGCAGGGAATTTTATTTAAAAACTGGAAATAATAAAACCATATTGAAAAAAAAAGTTTTCAGAAAAATACCTATGACATGGCATTAGAGACAGACTCAGCTTAGAAATGGACTAAAGTACATGTATAAATACATGCTAAGCATAATTATTCTTATATACCTTTTTAAAATTCAAATAATGTAAGAAGTTTAAAAATTCTTAGAAAGAATCTTATTTTTCAAAATAGTTTTTGAATAGAATGATTTTATAGGTCCCTCACCATTGAAACAATTGTCAGTCAATAAATAGTTCAAGAAATTACATAATCTTAATTATTTTTGTGCCTTTTTTCACTCTCAAATGTTCTGGTTTGGATCATAAA